CTTCTCCGAGTATGCAGGGCATCTTTTCCGATGATGGCGCCTGAAAGGTTGGCAGTTGACGGTTAGATGTCTGTGTCGGTAGGGTATAAAAGGTTTATCTGGGAATTGAAATACCGTCCTTTGCATAGGAGTTCCGTCGTTGCAAATGAGGCTTTTGGTTCGACCCAAAATATACAGGAAAAAAGCCATGTCAAAAACAACAATTCTTCTCACAGGAGCAAGCGGTGCATTGGGTTCCTCGACTCTCGCCCTCCTCGCGGCCAATTCCAACTTCGAGGTGATTGTTGTGCTTCGGTCGCTCGCCCGATCAGAGGCAGCTTTCCGGTCCAGATATGCTTCACAGGTCTCAGAAGGCCGTCTGTCCTTCGTGGAGGTCCCAGATATGACCATCCCGGACACCTTCGACGAGCTAGCTCGCAAAGCTGATGCGATCATTCATATAGCCACCCCTCTGACGTATGACAATCTCATGGAGACGACGATCAAACCCAGCTGGGCCATTTTGCGCAATATCTTGAGCGCAGCGGAGAAATCAGGGCGGGTGAGGAGGGTTGTCGTGACGGGGAGTATGGTCTCAACCATGCGGATGGGGGCATTGTACTCTGGGGGGACCATATCAGCCGAGAGCTGGAGTCCTATCACCCTTGAAGAGGCCGTGCTGAACCCTCTCAATGCGTACCAGTACTCCAAGGTCTCGGCAGAGAAGAAGGCCTGGGAGTTCATGAAGGAGAAACCGCGGGCGTTCGACCTGGTGGTCTTGTTGGCGCCATCCATCACAGGAAAGAGTCTGCAGCCAGGTTTCAAACCCAACAAGAGCAATCTCGGGGGCCAGCCAGGGATTTACAAGGGCCTGTTCGACTGTGACGAGCCAGGCTTCCTGTTCCCATATTTCATGTTCGTGGCGCCCTCTTGATCCGCAACTGGCATCATCTAACCTTTGCTGACCGGCTGTCTCTCGCCTTTTCCAGGGACGTCGAGGATGTCGCCCGTGTTCACGTCCAGGCTCTTTCCCCCGGTATCCCAGGCAACGAACGATACATGTTTCACTCGCCCGAGCTGATGATGGCTGATGACATTGCTGGGGCCGTCCGAGAAGACTTCCCACATCTGAGACAGCGGGTTCCGGCTCCTCAACGAGGTGTCGATAGTGGACCGTCGTCCAACCTGATCAAGACGGACATATCCAAGTTTGAGAAGGCGTTCGGCAGGCAGCAGTGGAAATCAGCGAGGGATTCAGCCCGGGAGACCGTCGAGGACATCGTGGCCTACGAAGAGAGGTAGCGAACACGACAGGCCGTACAATAACTGGACGTTCCGGGAGGTTTGGACCTGCAGAGGACGTTGATGATCGTAGTCAAATGCGATGGCGATGTAGATGACGGACGAGTGAAACAAAAGACATGGGAGCAGACACTGCAGGTCACAAGAACGGCGCTGGTCAAATCGATGCAGTACACAGGACATGTCATTGACGAGCGACGAGCGACCACCAAACAGACAAGTGCGGGAATTTCTCAGTATGTTTTGAAATATTGGTATTTTTCTATTTCGGAATCTTCGAGCTACAACCCTGTAATAACGCCATTTTCGTCCTGTTCGCTAAACGCTGAGACGCCGCCACGAGGCAAACAAGCAAGGGAATTATGCTGAATCATGCAAACAGGGATTAATCGTCGCGGCAGCAGCAGCAGCAGCAGCAGCGTAACAGCGCAGCACAGCAGTAGCAAAAGCAAGCAACAGACAGCAATTTTGCATTTGCAGTTATGTACAAATACCAGGTTCGATATTCGATGTTTCAGGCCTTGACAAAGCTCCATTCTTCCAATTTCTTGACCGTCTTGACACATCTGCCCTCCACTTCCCTCGTCCAGACGTCGGCCGCCCACAGGGACAGCGAGAGGGTGATTATCCAGCCGATGAGCATGGTCCCGGTCCATACGAGATCGGTGGTGTCGACGCCCTGCACGCCCATAGACCACCATATCCGGTGCGGGATCATGTATCCGACCGCGTGCATGATGGGGCCGTGGACCAGGTAGAGGGCAAAACTGATCTTGCCCAGGTATTGCGGTACGCTGCTGTTGAGAATGCGTCGCCAGATCGAAGTGTCGGGGTCGGCGCGGGCGAGAAGCAAGAGCAGCAGCCCGGTGCCAATGTTCGGGTAGAACTTGTCCTTGCGCTCCATCCACGCAGGAATGAGCTTGTTAAGCGTCATATAGCCTGGAGCGTAGTCTCTTGAGCCATCAATTGGATAGGACAGCAAGTAGAAGGCGAGCAAAAACCCTAGGACTCGAAGAGCGCGTAAACCTGCCTTGGGAGGGGTTGAGACGTAATCGGACCAGGTAGGAGGCGGCTTGTAGTCAGGCTTGGGTGAGTGAGGCGGCGACGGAGGTAGTCGGTCTGGAACCAGCGTGAGTTTCTTCTCTTGCTCGCGTTCGGTAAGAAGGAGGTCAATTTGTGCCACGACGGCCCCGATAATGTACACCCAGATCTCCCAATGGTTCCATAAGAAAAACATGACCGTCATCACGCACAATCCTGCCAATCGCACGTATTTCTTGCATTGTGCGGTGCCGATCAAAATCAGGTACAGAAAGATGGAGCCCTTCAATTCCGCCAGAATGGACCACAAATGCTGATCATGATAAGGGTAGACAGCGCCGTGAGTAAAGATGTTTGTCAAGTCGAACATTTCGCGGGCCCAATAGCTCATCTGTCGATAATAGCTCGCAAACTTTTCGGGCTTTGGTTCGTTCCAGACACCGGGAAAGAGTTTGCCATGGTCCGTGATGTAGCCTCGATTTCCTTCGTAGAAGCCAAAATGTATGTAGTGAGCCGTGATGAGGGTGATGATGAAGACGGGGAGATAGAGCCTGAATGCTCGACGGAACAGAGCCCCCGACACATTAAGTAGGACCTTGGCCTGCGAGGTCTGATCGCGTTTGTCGAGAAGCTGGAACAACCGTAGAGAGGACAAATAACCCGCAATCCCGAAGAAGACGTGAGCCGTGAAGCCGGCATAGAAATATCGGATGATGGGGAGCTCCAGGACATAATGGTGGCGATCGTTGGTGCCCCAGGGCGCGAAGCCAATGTCGCTGAATGCCATTATCCAGTGGAAGGTAAAGACCTTGATCGAGGTGATGCCCCGTAGGCCATTGAGATAGCTGGTGGGGAATTGCTTGGACTTGGAAGCATGATCATTCCAGTATCGAGATCGCGCAATTTGAGGGACGAAGCAATAGGCAAACCGTTTGCTGGCTTTGTAGAGACTGGCAGGTCGGGCATGCGACAGGGCAGTGGAGAGCATGCGCTCGGGCACCTGTCGAAGAGATCTAGAGGAGAAGTCATGGCGGGGAGCAGTGTCCGTATCCGTGTCCGTGTCTAGGAAGACATCTCTTTCCTCCTTCATGAGAGGCTGTCGGAGGGTCTGAAGCTCGTGTTGACTCATGGTGCTATCATTGGTATGGTATGTTCGCTTGCCTGGATTGCGTTATTCTGAGAACTGGGGTCGCAGAGGGCTGAGGGCCTGTCTAAAGTGTCTAGCAAGTGTCTAGCAGTGTCTTGAGGACGGGGTATTGGAGTGGTACGAAATGAAATAATGGGTGCCCAGGTGGTTCTGGGTGGGTGGCGTCAAAGGAAAGGATAAAGGCGCGCCCGCGCCCCTGAACAGGTCCGCCTTGCCCTGAATTAGGTTCCTAACAAGAATGAACGATCAAAGGAGAGTTCATCAAAAGACAAGTAGGAGAAGAAAAAGAGTGTACGGAGTAACAATCAGTCCACAGCCATGGAGAGGACGGTGGGTTGGACACGCCGGATACGATGGCCTTGGGGTGCCAGTGCAATCGAGGCTTGAAATCACGACATTTGTCTTGGATGGTTTGGAAGATTCAGCCCAAGACCATAAGGGGTTTCTTGGAACGCCCCTGTTACTCTGTTCCGCGGCTTACTATTTGCTCGCGTGCTTGTCCGGCGCCTCGCACCAGCCTGATGAGGCTGAACTGCAACATTTCTAGACATTGAGTGGCAGAGGATGGACTCCAGTGGATGGCTTCTCCCTGCATTAGCCTCCTCTTGGCACCCTGCTAGCCGCCAATTACCGAAACTGCCAATGCTGCCAACCCTGACCATCAAGACCAGGGAAATTGTCCCATCCAGCCATCCGAGGCTGTAGTGGGGGCGATAAGTGTGGCGAGCGTGTTAGATTTTCGTGTCTAGCCCCCCCTGAACTTGTTCGGCTACGGGCCAATTCTTGTGCAAGTCCTTGTCGCAGATACCGAGAACAAGTATATAGCCAAGGGACTTGTCCAAGTTGGCAGCAACACCTGTTTGGCACAGGGCATGCACTCCTCCTACCTCCCGTAGCTATACGAGTACGAGAGAGGTACTTTGATACAAAGTTATGCACTCCAAGCACTAGGATGTTACATGTTACCACAATGTGCACAAATTGTTATGCCGGAAAGTGCCACTCAGTCACGTGTTGACGCTAGTGACGTTTGGAGACTGGTGTCCGGAAAATACTTTTTCCAAACCCCTCCATCACGTGGGCATCTGAGAAGCGATAAGCGGGAACCCATTGACCTTTCGGGGCGTCTTTACCAAAGAGAAAAAAAAAGAAAGAAAAAATCCACTGGTAGAGAGCGCCTCACCCCCACTCTTTCTGCAGTCTTTCTCTACCCTTGCGTTCCATCTACCACGCTCTGGACCAGTCGAGTGACGACTTGATCTGCGCTTCACCCGCTACTCAACCAATCCGACACACATCGTTTCGGTCACCACCGATCACCAGATGCAACCATGCCAAAAAGACCCTACAAAATGGTTTTCCGTGCCTTTTCGTCCTCTGCTCTTCTTTCTTCCCATCGCCCTTTAGGCATTCTCAAACCCCCATCTTCCACAGCGAGCGACTTCGGGAGTTTTGCGCTCGCTTCTCGACATAAAGCTCCAACTTGACCACTTCCTCCCAATAGCGAACCTCTTCTCAAGAGCCAGGCACCATGAGCGATTCCAAGGATATCAAGGTCATTCGCGCTTCCAGCGTCGACCTTGGCCGCGACTATGGCACCGGGTCCTCCAGCTCTCGTTCGCCCATCGAGCATGGACATCCTGAGATCATTGAAGCGAGTCCCGAACGTGGTGCCACTGCCGATGGTGACGACGAAACAGGTGGACTTAAGAAACAGTCATGGCGTTCCAAGTTTGCCTTCTTCAAGACCAAGGACTTTTGGCTCATTTTGTTTCTGGGACAGATACTGGCTATCTGCATTACTGGTACAAACACTTTGACAAGCTTGTTGGCGGCTGAGGGAACCAGCATCCCCGCCTTCCAGACCCTGTTCAATTACGTATTGCTTAATTTCGTCTACACGGGTTACACCCTGTACAAATATGGCTTCAAGAAGTGGTCGCGAATGGTCCTCAAGGATGGTTGGAAATGTATGCTTCTTCAATACATTGTCATGTTGAGCCGCTCAAGGACTAACCGCAGAACTATAGATATCATTCTTGCTTTCTTCGACGTCGAGGGCAACTACTTCACTGTACTTGCCTACCGCTACACCACCATTCTCTCGGCCCAATTGATCAACTTCTGGGCTATTGTTGTTGTGGTCGTCATCTCCTTCATCTTCCTCCGCGTACGATACCACTGGGCTCAAGTCCTCGGTATTTTTGTATGCATTGGTGGAATGGGACTTTTACTGGCCTCTGACCACATCACCGGCTCCAATGGCGGGGACGTCTCTTCCGGCAACCAGCTCAAGGGTGACCTGTTTGCGCTGTTGGGCGCGACCTTCTACGGCTTGTGCAACGTCTATGAGGAGTGGTTTGTGTCGGGCAGACCCCTCTATGAAGTGATCGGCCAGCTTGGCTTTTGGGCCACCATCATCAATGGCGCACAAGCCGGTATCTTCGACCGCCACTCTTTCCACACCGCGACCTGGAACAGTAAAGTTGGAGGCTATTTGACAGGCTATACCCTCATTCTGTTCGTTTTCTACACCCTCGTTCCCATCCTTTACCGCTTCGCCAGCGCAGCGTTCCAAAACATCTCCCTTTTGACAGGAAACTTTTGGGGTGTGATTATCGGTCTACGGGTGTTCCATCTCCACGTGCATTGGTTGTATCCCATTGCATTTACACTGATTATGATCGGCCACTTTGTGTATTACTTTGGAAAGGGCGTGATGGGAGAGGCGGCGAAGGCGTGGCTGGGCGAGAACCAGGAGAAAGGTATCGATGGCTTCGGGAGTGCGAAGAGGAAGCTCCGAATGATGCAGGAGAACACAGCGGGGACCAGGGGTGGCGAAGGTACCGAAAGCATGGGCGTGGTCTAAGGAGGTTGAAGAGTAGAACGAGGTAGATGATCAGCCTGCCCTCTAGAGGTAAATATGGCCTCGTTCTCAGGCAAGCAATTGTCCGGAACTCGGCGGTGTCTGTGGTGGTCAGAGCGATCCCCCTTTTCTATCATTAACCACATGGCTGGGGACGCTCGAACACGCCGTTTCGTTTTGACATCACGATGATTTACGAGATTACGACCATGACTGCTGGGTACATACAAATATACCGCTCATTTCTGCAACGTGTTAGCATGAGTCTGAAGGGAGGGAAGAGTGTCTCCCTCCTGTCTTCTCTACGTACAAGTTCCTTGTACTTTACGTGAAACATTTAGGTTTTCATCTTTCTGGTTCTGCTCTCTTCCGCCCCGTCCTGGGGCTGTCCTTACACGCTTTGCCAGACCATGCAATGCTATACCGTGCCACAACATGCCATGCGGCGCAAAGCAAAGCAAAGTTAAGCAAAATGAGGTACAAACAGAAGACAGAGAATAGAGAAAGAAAAAAAGGTTAGTAGAGCAAAGCAAGAAATAGAAGACGTAGAAGGAGTAGTAGAAGGGTGTTTGAATGTCTTGTTGGTTTTTCTTCTTCGTCCACCAGCCTCGCGCAAGCCGACCGCCGACCGGGGCCCACCACCACCAGCACAACACCCAAATATCTTTTCCCGCCTCGAAGTTCCCGAAGTAGTTGAATTTTCTGTCCGTTTTTCCACCTTCCATCAACCCTTCATCACAAGGAGCCAAGGAATAGGAACCACAAAGTAACGATTTGTGATTGAAGAAGGTGACGAGCAAAAGGAGACAACGAGGTGGAGGAGCAGCAGCGATAGCAGCAGCGATAACACTCCTCCCGTCCTCGGCTTCCGATTCGGTTATTTTACTGCTCGGTCTGGAAATAGTTCAACAGGACGTTGCGCTCCTGGCTCTCCTCGCCCCAGTCCCTAACCACGACGCAGCTGCAGTTGACCACCTTGCGGGCGTTGCCCTCTCGGTCCAGGACGCACAGACCGGCCCACTCGCCCAGCATCTTGCCGTCGGGAACCTTGATCAGCGGGATCTTGTGCTCGGAGCACAGGGCGACGACGAGCTTCTTGTAGGCTTCCTCCTCGCAGGCCTCGTTGAGGACGCACATGTGCGCTTGGCGACGGTCGAGCGCCTTGGATGCTTCGCGCAGGCCGCGAGCGAGGCCATCGTGGATAAGGGCGAGTTTGAGGACTCCTGCACACACGAGAGTTAGCCCTCAGTTTTACAGCCACCGTTTTTTCAATTCTTCATTCCATGCTCTTTGTCTCCTTCGATTCCTCCCCATCCGTGAAACATGTCGAAAGTACGGCGTCGTGCTTTGTATCTCTCCCCTCCTATCATGTTTCTTTCCTCTGTCCTCCACCAGTTGCCTGGGGTCGAAAAGAAAATGCCAGACACACACCTTTTAGAGCATCAAGGACGGACATGGAACCAGAGGCGCCGGCATCACCAGAGACTTCGACCTCATCGGCCGCGGCAACTTCTTCGACGGGGGAAGTGGGCTCTTCTCCTTCCGACTACGCAGACACAATCAACGTCAGTATTTTTGCGTCCACAAGATGACGGTGCATAAGGAGAAGTAATAAAAGAAATCAACCCAGGTCCTCCATGCCTAAATTTTGCCGTGTCCGTGACATCTCTTTCGTGAGTCGGCGGAAACTCAAAAGTTCGGGCTTGGGACACCTTGGACTGGGGGCGTTTGGCGGGAAAGATGGGGGAACATACCATATTGGCGATTCGTTACTTGTGTGCAAGTACTTGTCTATCAACAATTTGTCGGATGATCCTCAAAGAGTCAACTTGGGAAAGGAATGAATAGTATCATGCAAAAGGGAAAGGTCCGGAACTTTTTGCAGGTCGAAAATGCGAAATTACGGTGCGTGTCCCTCCAAGACTTTGCCAAGAAATCAGAGTGATCACGTGATTATCAAATCAGCGTGGTATTCTCGCGTGTGGAAGGATGTGACAAAGGTTATTAGTACTAGGTACCTCGTACTAACCTAGTCAAAATAAAAGAAAACACGAGCGGGAAATGTCCCCGGAAGCCTATTGTCATCTGCGATATTGATTTGGAACACAGCCTCCCGTCATGCATGTTGTGTTGTGCTCATGGACACAATTCCAAGTACGTAGCTACTACCATCTACCGTCAACTCAAAACAACGGCGAATTCATGTCTTCATATGTCAACGAATGAATTGCTAAAACCCCCGTGCTCTGCATCCAAAAGCCGATCAAGACCATAAACAACAGAGTCCCGTTCTCGAAATAACTCTGCAAGTGGCCTACCAAGGCCAATCAATGCCTCAACTCTCTCAGTCGTCAATCATTAACCCCTTTCAATGAGTATAGCCGGATCCGTTGCCATTAATAATGGGAGACGCGTGGGAAGTCAGGCCGTTTGTCAGTTGGCCTGATTTCACGTTTTTACCGAAGTCGGGGTATGCAGCAGCGCTTTGCGACGGAGATCCACCTGCGTTATGCTGATGCAACGAAAGGACCCGAAGTGAGATCGGCTGTTTCCTGATCTTCAGGTTCTTCAGGTGCGGATGTCGGAAGAGCTGATCCTCGAAGTCGGAAAGCTGCGTGCAAGTTAGCTACCAAATCACGAATTCAGGCACAAAAATACACCACATACCTTGACCCAAAAAAGTTCCTCCATGGCAAAGAACTTTGGTCGCTCCTCTCGCTCGCGCTGAATCGCCATATTGATTGTTGTATTGTACTGATTGGTTTCGAACTCATATGACAGGTTATTCCTCGACACTTGCCAAAGACGTTGTCGTTCGTGTGGTGTGACCGGCCGTCTCTCTAGAGAAGTATAGCTTCGTAGATTCAAATCCTTGGTCGCAAGCAGTCCAGCAACTTGGAAATTTGGAATCCATAGGTTGTCCCGGTCAGCGGCTGGAGTATTGGGATCGAGCTGTGCAGACTTGACAGTGTACAATGGCAGGAAAAGGTTCAACCAATGCTCACTTCTGGCCCTGGAATCGCCGGCGTCGAGGAGTAGGGCGCATTGCCTAAGCAATGCTGGCAACGCCTCTCGCCTGCGCCGTTCGGCCTCGAGTCGCTCTCGGCGTTGTTGCTCTCGGAGCTGCTCTTCCTGTTTGCGTTGTCTTTCCTCGAGCTCACGCTTTATGCGCTCTTTCCGTGCCTCCTCTTCCTTCCGCCTGAGAGCAGCTTCCTCTTCAGCCTTTCGACGTTTTTCCGCCTCTTCCGCAAGTCTCCGTTCTTCCTCTGCCCTCTCAGCCGCAATTCTTTCTTCCTCGCGCCTCCTGGCCTCTTCCAGTCGCCTTGCCTCCTCACGCTTTCTGATCTCTTCGAGACGTCTAGTCTCTTCACGTCGTCTGGCCTCCTCAAGTCGACGTGCCTCTTCAGCTCGTTTTGCTTCTTCGGCTCGCTTAGCTTCTTCCAGTCGTTTAGCTTCTTCGACTCGCTTGGCTTCTTCCAGCTGACGCGCCTCTTCGACTTGCTTGGCCTCTTCAAGTCGACGTGCTTCTTCGAGTCTGGCCTGTTCAAGGCGTTGTGCCTCTTCACGCCGTCTGGCCTCTTCAAGACGTCGGGTCTCTTCAAGCTGTTTGGTCTCCTCAAGTCGCTTAGCTTCTTCGGCTTTTCGGGCATTTTCTTCTCTCTGATGCTGAAGGTCTGTCTCAGAAGCGCCCCGCTCAACCGGCTCGGCTTTGATGGTTCCTCCAAGAATCACCCTTGATTGAAAGCCTGCACTGCCGGGAGGACCCGTCGATGCTTCAGTTTCAATAGTGTCACTCGGTGTGTCTAGTCCAGGCCTGTGCTTGTCAATCTCCATGGCTTCCTTCGGATCTTCTTGGATAGCTGGCTGAGATCTGGCTTTCTCGCGCTTCGGACCAAATCCGTCATCCGATTTGCGGCCAAGTGTGGGAGAGGATGAGCCACGCTTGAGATTCTTCGGGCCAGGGCGGGTGTCTTCCGGACTGCTTTCGATGACGGTCCGTCGCTTCTTAGCAGTGCTGCGACCATTGTCAGCCTCTTCGATCACTGCTGGTCCTGGCGAAACGTGTTCCCGAGTTCGTTTGAGCACCGTGGCCGGTTGACTTTCCGGAGTAATGATGACTACGGCGTCTTCGTCATCTGATGAGGCACCGGAATTGCCCTTGCGGCTGCGGTGCTCTTTACCGGTAACAAGACGTCTTCGCCGATGCGTGACCTCGGATTCCAGGTTAGGCGGTGGTGGCAGGTCGCTCTGGCTACGACGTTTGATATGACCTTTGCGCGACGCGTGTACCGACTGATCCTGATCAGAAGAAACAGCAATAGGTGAACCTCCGACATCTCGTTTCGAAACATGATGCTTCCGCCTGTCTTGTCCGTCTACAGAACCAAGGTCTCGATCCTTTTCCTTTTCAGCAAAATTAGGCAGCTTGCCCGCCAATTGTCTTTGCGTCAAGATCGGACTCGAGGAATTTTGCGAGTTATTGGAGTTCGGAGATTGTGAGCGGCGACTGACACGACCTTTGGCCTTGTCTAGGTCTCTAGTAAACCGCGGAGAGCTCACTCTTCGTTGTGTTGCGTGGTATTTGTCGTAGGCCGTCTTTAGAATCTCATACTCCTGCTCCCACCGTTCACCTTTCCGCTCGGCAGCGATCTCATAATAGGTCTTCCCTTTAAGAATCCTCCTCGTAGGATTGAAACCTAGCTGCTCGACGAGAAGTTTGACAACTTCCGGATGCCCTCTGCCAATAGCTGCGAGCATCGGAGTGTTGAATCCAGGTCTCAGGCTTCGAATTGGGTCAGGATCGGCTTCAGGATCACCCATCGCCAGAATCAGCTGCAAGACCTCTTCGTGCCCAGCTTTGGCGGCTGCTATTAAAGACTCCGTTTCAGCCTTTTGCAAGACATTGAGGATACTGGCCACGCCTTGGACATCACCTTTCCCCGCCAACTTTTTCAGATTCTCCTGAGTATTTGCTTGCCAGAGAAGATCATTACGAGTGGATT